TTTCTGCTGTGTGGGTGTTCTTTCTACAGTTTCTCTGCTCTTCCTCTGTTCTTGCTCGTTTATTGTAGTCACCAGATTTGAACTCATCAATAGAAGAATTCTGGTATATTAACAGCCCTTAAATTCAAATTCTAGACCTCTTAATTGTTGTTGGGTTGTTTATTGTTGGTTAGTAAATGTAATCGATGGTTAGAATTTTGGTGTCACTAAAGGCTCTTTTATTTCATCACTTTTGGGTACAGCTATTTCATCTGATTTTCCTGCACTTTATGAGCACTGTTAATTTCTGTTTTTGTGTTCTCATCTCACCCTGGTCTTGCACATGAACTGTACTTTTTGCTGAGAAAATCCTGCTAAGTTACATCATGTTTTATTCACTAAAAATACGCTGTGAACCATGTATTTTTCTGCACTTTTCCTACACTGTTTTGTGACACTATCACGCTGATTTTTGCCCCTAAAACTTGCTGAAAGCTACACCAAATGCTGCTATGGAATATTGATTATTTTTCCCCTTATTGTATGTTTATGTTGACCACTAACTTGCTCTCCATTTTTCCTCACTTGGTACAAAATTCTCCACTGTTTATAGCTTAAAGCTTCACCTTTTTGGAGTGTGTTGCTGTCATTTTGTTTTTGGTTTGTTCTAGTTGCTGTACCTGTTTTGTATTGTTTTTCTGCTGCAATTGGGAAGAATTTTGGCAGCATTTTAAACATGTTTTTAAGCTTGGTTCATGTAAAAACTACCCCGCTTAACTGCTGTGTTGTTCTCTCAATCTGATTCTAAGGAAGATTTTGCCCAGAAAATTAGGGTGAGATGAAGTATGAAATTTTTGTATCATTTTTGATGCATTTGTCTTTATATCGTTTTCCTTTTTTTCTATCTTTTTGGTGCATTTGTCTTTATATCATTTTTTATTTTTTCCATCTTTTTGGTGCATTTGTCTTTATATCATCTTTCATTTTTTCTATCCCTTTGGTGCATTTGTCTTTATATCATTTTTCTTTTTTCTTTTTTCTTTTTTTGTAATTTTATTTGATTTTTGTATCTGACTTTTTCTGGTATTCCAATCTAACTTTTATTTTTGTTCTTCCTATTCCTGATTGTTTGTTTGATTGCCTAGAAAATTAGGGTGAAATGAAGTATGGAATTTTTGTTATTGGATTATTAAAGCTTAAGTCTTCCTTCAGACTGAGGGTAGGAATGTCTAGGAAATGAACTTGAATTTGAGAGGTAGGATCATTGATTGGGTGTTTAAATTTGAGGAATGTGAAAAACTACTTTTGGGTAAGAACTCATTAATTATTCACAAGTGTAGATTATCTCTGCTCCTGGTACTTTGGATTGAGGATGTGTGTAGATAGTTGTAGCAGAAACCTACCTGTCACTCTACAGTGCATCAATACCCATAACTTCTAAGTGGAGTAGGAGAATAGAAACTAGTGACTGTAGTATAAGTGTATAACATATAATAGTTTTCTTAATGCAGCTAGTGTAGCCATGCAAGTGCAACCCAACTCATTTTGCTGTTGAATTTTTCACTTTCATTATAGTTTTCGTAATGCATTTACAAAGCCATGAAAAGGGAAAACACCAGTCATCATAATTGCTTGCTAGCTTCGAAAAGGTGTATTATTTGAGCAAACAAAGTGATTAAAGTGTTGATTGTCAAAGAGCATTTCTAGATTTAGGCCCCCTGCCTGCATTGCCTTTTTTTGGGTCAATAATCAGGAAGATTCAATAGTTCCATTTCCACTATCCTTTTAAGAGCCTACTTTTTGTTTTTTCCCCACTCTGAATTTATTGCATCACCATCTGCAGAACCTTCCATATGGTATTTTGGTGCGTTAACCATTAGCAGAAAGATTCTCTTCTTTTGGCCTACAAGTTCCTATCGTACCTAAGTGTGCATGGCTGAATTAAAGTGCTTTAGTCATATGGGAATTTAATAATTTTTGGCTACTTGATATTTGGGAATTGATTTGGATAATTAAGTTAATTAATTTCTCTGTTACTATTTGATTTAGGGTCATCGGCAAGTACTTCTCATTCCTGCCATGGTGATCTAGTTCCTGACTAGTGCCTTTGATCTTTAAGCTTCTTAGCTCATATTAGTAACTACTTACCTATTGAGCAAATATGAATAGAGGTTGTTTATTGTGAATTTGAATGTTAATATTTTGAGTTATGATGAATTTGGTAAATATATGATGTTAATTTCAATGATATATTTAAATACATAATTGCTACTTTGGCAAATGAGTGTGTTCTTTTAAATTTGGTTATGTTTTTGAATTTGGCTATATTTTGGAGGTTTGAACATCTGACAAAAAAAGATAAAATTTTGTGTAAAGAGGAAAAAAAATAGAAAATTAACAAAATCCAGCAATTTTAGCAAATTTCAACATCAACAATACACTGGCAAAGATGGTCCTATCCTCCCAAATCACACTAGGCTTTATCAGCATATTTTTAACACAAATTGGCATCATGGAAACGTGGGCTTTGAGTGGGCTATTCCAACGTTTTCAAAAACGCTAAAAATACAAAAGCTGATAGTTACAGAGCCGACGAACTGGTGTTGGTAGCGTTTCTGGAAATGCTAGAGTGACTTTTAACACTATTTTAAAACGCTGAATTTGGCCAGAAGAACACTGCCTTTTCATCGTTTTCTTGCAGTGAATTTTCATATTCCTCTATTTCTTCTTATATTCTTCACTTTCTCATTCTTCTTTTATTATTTTGGGCACATTTCTTTTGTTCTCCTCAACTTCTCTTCTTCACTTGCATTTTTTAGATTCTTCTTCTCTTCTTATAAATTATTTTTACTTAAAAATTATACTAATTACCTTTTTTTTAGGTATATTTTAGAGATATAAAATGTATAATAAAGGTAATGTTCAATTTAAAATATGATTGGAAAATGTTTTAGAGACAACTATTTTGTATAACTTTTTCATACAATTTTACATATCATTTAATAATTGGTTCTTTGTACTCTACTTAAACTTATGATATTATATGCATTCACTTATTGAATAATATATGAATTATGAAAGTTATATAAAAAAGTATAAAATGATTGCCTTAATATCATTACCCTATATGATTATTGATGAGCTAAAATCATTAGTAAGTATACTAGTTGCTCAAGTAATAAAGTAATGAATAGAATATCATTTCCATGAAGATTATAATTAATATAAAAAATAACTAATTTTAGAATTATTTAAACATATAAAAAAGAAAGAATTTCTAAGTATAAGTAATTAAAAGAAAATAACAATTTAAAATAAAATTCACCAAAATATGAGGTATTAGGGCATCTAAGTAGCTCATCATAAATAATCAATATAAATTTTAAATTATTATACTTTTAAGATATTTATTACTCATGTGACAGTGAGATTTCTTATTATATTTGATATATTTTTTCAAGTTGTACTAAATTTATCTTTATTTATTAATCAACTATATTTTTATATGGATTTAAATAGATAAAATGCATAATGTTCTATGAAATTCCTTAACCTACATAGAAACTTTTGAGTCCATTTATCACTAATATTGCACAAATTATGTTGGTCCATTTTTGGTTTCCATTCAATTTATTGTATATATTATTAAAAGTTATTGCATAAAATCTCTTCTTGGTCTCAATTATGTTTTCCATGTTGCTTTTAGTGGTGATTAAGCATTCAAAATCATTAAAAATAATAATATTTATTTATCATAAAATAATAATTTTGAAAGCACAAAAACCATAGTCCAGTGAAAAATATATTCAACCTTTTTCCACCTCAGGGACTGTAGTGGGAGGAGTGTATTTTATACGGAGTTTTTTGCCATGGAATATTTTAACTACACTACAATGGGAAATAATAATTTTCTGTCGCATTTGGGTATTTTCCACTGCACATGCAGTGGAAAATAGCCCTTTTTATTGCAATAATATATTGTTGGTGTTTTAATAGGAAGGAGAAGGGGTGGCTCTGGCTTAGCGAGGGGAACAATTGTTGCCTCCTCAAGAAGGATTCCATTGTTTGAGGAGAAGGATTTGCTCAAACATGAAGGGGGTACTATTCCTCCTCTAGGATAGTTACAAATTGTAATGTGCGCTAAAGTGGGCATGGGACTGTTGTAGCACTTCTTTTTGCTCTCCCTTAGAAGGGCTTTATGGTGGGGGAAGAGGCTATATATATTGATTAGCTTTTTGTTCTCCCGTGCTAGAAGAGGTTGGTATGATATGATAGGTGTTAGTGGGTGGGATAAGAAAACTTTAGGATAGGAGTGTTCACAGTGTGTATTGGTTCAAATCTTAATATTTTTAAATTTAAATAAATTTAATTGGTTAGTAAAATTTTTAAATTAATTCAATATATTATTATATTACAATCAAATCAATTCAATTTAAATTAAATTGATGTGTTTCAGTCAAATTGATCGATTTTAATACTACTTTAAATATATTTGATTAAATAAAAAATCTGAACATTAAATTATAGAAAATATAATTGTAAAACACACTAACATCATAAATAAGAAAATGTTAGTACTAATAAGGCAACCAAGGCATGGAAACCCAAGCTGTTGCCGCTTAAGAGAGTAGAGAGTTTTAAGAGCAGAAATTTTGGTCAAATAAAAGACTATTTAGAGCTGCTGATAAAGAGATGCACTAGTTTTTTATTAAGTTAATTAAATTATATTATACAATTATAGAACTAAAATAAAATAAGAAATGATAACTAATACAATTAATATTATAGTACAATAATTTAAATACAATTTATATGCAATTTGTAATTATATTTTTATTTTACAAAAAAATTCAGAAAATATATTTACAAAAAAATAAAAAAAAAAGTAAAAATAAATTATTATTTAATTAAATTATTTTATAATTGGACGATTCAAACAGTTTGGAAATAAAATCACAAATCAACCAATTATATTAGTTTTGAAATTTTTTATTCCAAACCAACCTAAACTGATATAAATTTAGATTGAATTTTAATCAAATTAAATCAGTTTAGATCGAATCAATCAGTTTGAATTGGATATATCCAATCCAGCCCTACCCTACCGTAACTTTTCTATGTACTAAATAATCCGTATGAAATCAAGGAATTATCAAAAAAAAAAAGGGAAGAAAATTACCTTTTTACCCACTTTTTAAAAAATTGGATTTTAGTAGGTGAGATTTAAAAAAACCCCTTACCTCCTGTTAAGTTTGAGCAGAGAGAAGAAGCAAAAAATAGAAATATATTAAAGCAAAACAAGAGAAAAATTAAAATGTAAAAAAATTAAAGCAAAATAAGGGAAAGTCCTTCCCCACATCTTCAATTCTGTGTTATCTAAATAGAGAAATTATACACATTCCTTTCCCTTCCTACCCCTCAAACCAAACCAGTTATTACTAATAGTGTTAGGAGTTGTTGAATTTTACTATAATTCTTTGATCCGTAAAAATTAATTTCTTAGAAAATATTTTCTTCTTATTTTTTGGTGTCTGCCATACATAAAGTGTAAAAATGAGTTGGACAAAAGTTTGGAAAACAACTTCTTTAATTGATAAGGGAAATAATTTCCCAAATAGGGAATTTTGGGTTGCCCTAGAGTCCTAAATCCCTCTATGCCAACAGACCACTGTCCATCCTCAAGCCGGCTTGTTTGGTCTGGCCAACAATTATAACCTATAGTGGTTTTTCTTTTTTTAACAATTGGTTAGTGTGCTTAAAATGATATTTTTACAAAAATGATATAGTTACTGTGTTATGTAATATTTAAAACTTATAATTATAATGTATTATTATATGATTAATTTTGCTAACTCTTTTTACAACTTTTCCTTGATGCATTTAATATGATGAGTTTTAATAGTGTAGAAAAAACTTATCATTGAATGAAAAATATGTAAGGTTGTGGGAAAAAATTGCACGCAAAAGCTATTGTTAAATCATTTCCCTTAAAAAGTACTATATTTGCTTTTTTTTTAGTTGTTCTAATTTCTCAACCTTATGTTAATTAACTTGGTAATTATATATAACAAATAAATGACAACTGAAAAAAAAAAAAAAGTGATTTAAGTAAAAATATTCAACAAGCATTACATCTAGGATGAAAAAAAAAAAATTCAATTGTCGTTAGTTTTTATTCAAAAAAGTATTTTACAATTAGAATTATAAAACATTAACCATTAGATGATGAGGAGCCCTTCAATCTAATAATTATTATTTTACAATTTAATGTGGTTCAAATCATAGAATAATAGTCTCTTTCTAGATAAAATCATCAAAGTTAAACTTCACACTAAAGTCAAACTAGAACTTATATTAATTAAATTGATAATTGATGTAACAAATAAACAATAATCAAAAAAAATTTTAATTAATTGAAAATACACAACGAAACACTATGTCTATAAAAGAAAAAATTTCCAATTGTTCGTACATTTTCTATATAAAATAATCAAATTATTTACACAAAATGTCAAACTAGATCAACTAAGACAAAGCGAGGGTGTAATGCAGACAATACAAGTTACAAGCCTACAAATAAAACATTGCCCCACAATTACAGCAAATTGGGTAAGGTGCAAATGAATTTGCAAATTCATTCCTTTTCTTTTTCTGAATTCTATTTTTATACAGGCAGGTTTCCAAAGCTAGCTTTCTCGAATCTAAAAATTAATCCTCTTTGGAATTAATTTCTTTGTGTTGGTCTAATTATTTTTAAAATTTATTTTACAATAAAATTTTTTATTTTATAGTTCAATTTATATCAAATTATAAAATAAAAATTATTAAATGAGAAAACAACTCATAATAGCGTGAGCTATCTTCTTTCAATGATTCTATACCAAGTTGCATGACATATTTTTGGAAAAATAATTAGAAAAATACTATGTACAAAGATTAAAAGAACTGTATCAAAAGTTAATAAATTTTATAATAAAAATTTATTAAAATTTATTGAGCTGTTAATTGTTTTATATTTGGTAAAAAAATAATATAAAGTAAGAAATTAATATTAAAAAATGATAAAAATATTAAAATAGTTCCTACATAAGAAAAATTAGAGGAATTTTTTTAAAAAAATATAAGAAAAATTTATTGATTGAAAATTATATTTAAAAAAATAGGTAAAATATCATTTTTATTTTTTTTATTATATTATTAAAATATTTAAATAATCTTACAGAAAAAAAAATTTTGGCGGGAAGTTTTCCAAATTCCCCCATCCAAACAGGCCCTAAGGATGAATAAGCAAGAATCATGCCATACTGCGCGACAAAACTAGGCCACTTGACTCTCTTTTTTAATTGAAACACGACTGTCTGAATACAAATCAATAATTAAATCACAACCAAATCTGGAAGAGTCTTCAACGCTTGAATTGGAAATGCATAATCCAATCGTTAATTTCCCCTCCATATTCAGCTTTTATGCAGCTGTACTCCGCACAGCTCATTTTTCAAAACTCTTTTATTTCTACACAAAAGAACCCAATAAACATCACCACCCAACAATCAAGATTTGAACCATTGACACCGCTTCTGTTTTCATCTTCTTCCTTCACTGGTGAGTGCTTTTCTTCAACTGGGTTCTCTTTTTTTTTTTGAAATATTCAGAAAAACTATGGAATTTTTTTATTTTCTTTCTTTTTCTGTTTACTTGAATCCCATAAGCTGCAACCTTGGTTTCTTGATGTGATATTCCTTTATATATATATATATATATATATTCTTGAATTTCTGTTTTTATTAATTGTTTGTCATTGATCTGATGATGTTTCTTATGGGGTTGACTATTTTCCCAGGTGGGAATTTGCATTTATTGATGATTTGTTATTATTGGTGTTATTTCACAGATACACTTTTATGTTGGGTTTCAGTATGCTGGCTAGTTTATATCAAAATATTGATTCATTCTATGAAGTTTCATGTAATTCCATTATTATGCTTTCTGTTGCCTGTAGTTTAGATTCTTGACAAGGCAATTTAATCTCTGGAATTCTGTCTGTAGGTCTTTTCATTTTCTTGGCATGAAGTCATATTTTGATCAAGGATTTAATTTTTCTGTTCTATTGTTTGGCTAGCCATTTTCTCCTGTCTAATTGTTCATTATCGTTTACACGCAATTAAGCCTATTCTGCTGAAATGTCAGCTCTTCTGGCTTTGCACTACTGTTGTTCCCACAAGGGTGAACGGATGAATCTCAGTTTCTCAAGCTCAATATCACATCCATTTGTAAAATTTGAGAGGCAAATATGTACACTTCCTATGGCTGATAAATCATTCAGATTTAAAGTGAAAATGCGACAGACTGAGTCATCCTCAAGAGTAGATCCAGATAGACAAGCTGTTAAAATGGTACCTGTAAGTGAAGTGAGGAAGAGAAAAACTCCGTCCACCAACAAAGCAGAGAAGGTCAATGGCGTAAACCAGGTGACTGATGGTGTTAGTATAATTAGGCGAGCTCATACTCTTGGACCGATTAAGTCACCTAATGGCAGAGGTAGAGCCCCTATAGAACCTTCCCCAATTGACGAGCTAAAGGTTCTACCCTCGGATGAAGCCTTCAGTTGGGCCAATGAGAATTATAGCAGCTGGCAGAGAAATATAGATGTCTGGTCTTTTATTATTTCTTTGCGTATCCGAATTCTGTTAGACAATGCAAAATGGACATACTTCGGAGGCTTCACAGAAGATAAGCGGGTGAGTTTCACATTATTTAGGGAACATTATGTAACTCCACTATGTTGAATCCTAGCGCAGACTTTGGTTTCACCCTCAAATATTTCACATCTGACAAATGGATACTCTATTTCCAGGTTCTTCTCAACTTGTGTCCTTTTCTTGCTTATGATTCCATACCTGTAAAACTTTATTTCTCTCATGCAGACAAATAGAAGGAAAAGAACTGCCTCATGGCTTCGGGAGCGTTTATTGCAACTTGGTCCTACTTTTATCAAACTTGGACAGTTATCCTCAGCTAGATCAGATATATTTCCACAAGAGTATATAGATGAGCTTGCCAAATTGCAGGTACTCATTATGTTTTACTCCAAAATAGTGTTAAAAAGGATTTATGTAATTGTCTTAAGCTTTTAGGTTGTTAGATAACAAGTATCAATGTAAAATTTTGCCTTGTTAAGATCTGATATTATTCATTATGCTGATTTTTTACTTTTTATTTCTGGTTTTGCTTGTATTAACTTTATTTGATTCTCATCACGTGATTCCAGGATAAGGTCCCTGCATTCTCAGCAGAGAAAGCAAGACGCTTTGTTGAGACTGAACTGGGAGCTCCCATTGAACATATATTTAAGGAGTTTGATGACTGGCCAATTGCTGCAGCTAGTCTTGGTCAGGTGTTAGTTTCATCTTCACTATTCCTTTTTGCTCAAGCCATGAAGATGTTATAGGATTATTTTTCCTCTTTGTTTACTTTTGAGTAGCTTGGTGGACAATATGGTACTATTAGAGACTTCAAGACGAATTTAACAGCAGCACTAAGTAGAATTGCTTTATAAGCTCCTTGCAGTTAACAAGTCTAAAGTGGAAAGTGTTAAAGTCAAGTATGGAAGTAGGTATTTAAATAGTCAGTCAGTTTGAAGCCACATCATTTCTACTTTTAATTCTGTTGGTGAATAGTGAAGTTATAACCACTAACAAATAACTTAGACTTATCATTTTCTTATAATCTTGAAGAGTTCTTTCTATAGGTGCATCGAGCTACATTGCATGATGGGGAGAAAGTTATTGTGAAGGTTCAAAGACCTGGTCTTAAGAAGCTTTTTGACATTGATTTAGGTAAGTGACATACATTTTGCCTAAATCTTCTATAACACTAGCATGCTTATTTAAAATGACAAAAAGATAAGAGTTTTTTTTTTTTTCTCCCATGAATGGCTTTATTACAATTTTTGCCTAGTAGAACATGTTGATTTGCATATTCTCAAAAAAATTATTGAGGATCATGGGTGCCAGCAGTCAATACTGCAATAGTCTATACATTTTAGAATCCCTTAGAACTTTTGTTCGGCGTTGCAATCTGAGGAATAGATTGGTGATGAGTTAGGATAATCCGAGAGGTCATGAAATGCCTGACAGAAGTAATAGGTCATTTGAAATACTGGTGGAATGAAACAAGCTTTTTCTTCTACTCCCTCTGTCAAAAAATAACTATCACTTTTTGACTTTTTCTCCAAACTAATGATTTGGGAACAATTAATGTGTTTACCTATATACCCTTAAAAAGAGATAAAAAAAAAAAAAAAAAGGGAGACTTTTTGTGATAAAATTATTAATTAAAGTGAATGGATAACAAAAGGGGTAAAGCAGGAAAGAAATACTTGTCTACCTAACAAAATGAAAAAACGACAATTAATTTGGAACAAATTCAAACTGAAAAAACAAAAACTTATTTTGGGATGGAGGGAGTACATCCTTTTAGGGTTTAAATGAGGCACTCCAGAAGGGAAAAAATGGATTGTGAGAGTGCATTTAGTTCTCTATATGTGCAATCAACTAGATATTGATTACGAGTTGGCTACTTTTCATGCACTGCAGAAGTAATGGCAAACATATATTTTCCATGGGTTTTTGAGGATATTGTTTTTGTCAATTTCTTAAATTACTGTTGCTTCCATGCAGGAAATTTGAAGCTAATTGCAGAATATTTTCAGAACACCGAAACTTATGGCGGTCCAACCAGAGACTGGATTGGTATATATGAAGGATGTCGCAGGCAAGTAGTAAGCACATTGATGTTTGTTGCATCAGCTTTCATAAATGATGATAAAGAAATCTAGATGTATAAGAAATTATGAAACCTCATCTCATTGGTGTTGCACTGTCTTTGACCTCAGGATTCTTTATGAAGAAATTGATTACATAAATGAAGGGAGAAATGCAGATAAACTTCGCCGAGACTTCAGGAATATTAAGTGGGTCAGAGTACCTGTACGTTTCCTGCTACGAGGCTCTGCTAAAAATTGTTGTATATTCAGTCAGTTTCAATACTTTAATTGCTTGTCACTTAAGTCTGATATTTCTTTGTGAAGATAATCTGCTTTTTTGAAATTTAGATTGTGTCATTCATTCTCACTATGAAGGCATTTCCCCTCTTTTGTAGATGGTTTATTGGAATTATACTGCTACAAAGGTTTTGACCATGGAGTATGTACCAGGTTTTGTTCTAAACTGATATGATTGTTTCTGTCCATCATGATACCAAGTTTCACGGCAAGGAAGATCAAAGATTTATTAAAAGACTATTTCAATGAGTTTATGCCAGTTTTGTTGATAAAAGCACTTATATTTCATTCCAGGTATTAAGATCAATCAGTTGGATGAGCTAGATTCAAGAGGATATGATCGATCTCGAATTTCATCACGTGTTATTGAAGCATATTTGATTCAGGTAAGTTAGGTCAACCTGTCTGAAATGAGCTATATCACTCATTCACTCCTCATTTGTAACAAAAAATACAACAATTGCTAACTTGTTTGATTCACTGGATTTGGGATAAAACTCAGTTATTGAAAACTGGTTTCTTCCATGCTGATCCACATCCTGGAAATTTAGCCATTGATGTTGATGAAGCACTTATCTATTACGATTGTGGCTTGATGGGGAATCTCCAAAGTTCTACTCGTGCAAGATTGATTGAACTTTTCAATGCAACATATGAGAAAGATGTACAAAAGGTCTAGTTTCCATTTTTTGATACTGTTAAATTCATCCTTTGAATTGAAGAACCTTGTTCTTAGAATCTTTTATTATATTTTACAACTTTCTACAAACCTGAATTCTCCAACTTATCTGAAGTTAGTGCTGAACCTGGAGATCCTAAACACAGCTTTTTTGTCCTACACTGTGCAAACTGATTTGCACAAACTATACAGGTAATCCAATGCCTTATAGATCTTGAAGTACTTCAACCCAAAGGAGATTTGTCACCGGTAGGCCACCATGCAATGCATATCGCGAAGAAAATACCACTCATTAGTATTCTTCATACTTGTCATGTTGTTTCATATTCTTCTAGGTGAGAAGATCTGTGCAATTCTTCTTGGACAATTTATTGAACCAGAGGCCAGATCAAGAGGCTACTATTGCTGCAATAGGAGAGGTATGGAAATGTGGACATGCTTATTTATTATCTTCATTGATGAAGTTTCATGCTAATATTTAGTTGTAATGGGTCTTGTTCTTTAATTCTTTGAATACTTCAGTCCTAAAATGCTTTATTTGGTCCATATAAGGGTTCTAATGCTGGACTGTGCAAATGGGTGGCATGATGGAGCACCCATTTCAGTGTTCATTTCCTGCCAGTGCACCTAGACACCTCATGGTGCCATGGTGCACCCAGATTTGAGGGTGCTATGGGCTCAAGGAGCACAAAGGAGCACTCTTCTCCAGCCTCAAGGGGCAATGGAGCACCCCAAATCTGAGGTTCTCCATCAAGGTGAGTTGGAGCATTTGTCTGTGTCCTCCATCACTGCCAGATAACAATCTAGGTACTCTAGTTAAATGATGGCCGGCCTCAATGGGTAGCCCTAGAGAACCCTAGACTAATGCTCCATTGCTTTCCAGAGATTGTTCTTTCAACATTTAGATTGCAAAGCCTATTGGTTATTTTAACTGATAAGAAAGAAGAAATATAGGGAGGACCTTTCTAAGCAATTGAGATTGGCTATTGGCACGTCATAAGGTGTGATATGGTTCATATCATATGAACCATGGTAAAAACATAGGTTTGAATCCCTCTAATGCCATCTAGGTGCAAACAATTAAACTAGACTATGTCTGCCACCTCATAAAGGTGGAGCCTCAATCTGTGCACATAGAGGAGCCGGTTTTCAGCCTATAGATGAGGTGGTTTCCAAGTAGTTGTGAGATTAGTCTAGCTAAAGGTCCGGATACCTACCTCATCCAAAGAAACCATTCTGACATTACTAGGGAAATGATTCCTTGTATGCTTGGGGCCTTTTTTATTTTTTTTTTGTAACTTAGATTTCTGATGGACCTATAAAATTTTCTTTATATAAAGAAAAAATAACAAAGCAATTACATGATCTTACTCCATTTAAAAAAAAAAAAATTGAGGAATTCTAAGTGCTGAGCGCACAAGCACACCACACCTGATTGGGCGGAATTCTATTTATTTGAAAAAAAATGAGAAAAAAGAAGTCACTCTCCACCAATCAGGTGCAGAGTGCTTTTAAATTGAATTAAAACAATAGAATTGCACATTGTAGGTTTGTTGGACTAGTTTGGTTAATAGTCTGGATGCCTGTGTTATCCAAAACAGAAAAATATATTAGTGCACATTTTGGTGTGGAGTGCTTTTAAATTTAATTAAAACAATAGAATTGCACATTGTAGGTGTTGTTGGACTGGTTTGGTCAATGGCCTGGATGTCCGTGTTATCCGAAAAAGAAAAATGAATTAGTGCACATTTGTACCCCTGTTTGGAAAACAAAGCATAAGCATGCACGTTGGAAACCATCAGAATTTTCTGAAACATGAAATTTATATGGAAGATTTACCATGTTTGATGATTGTTCATTTTGAAATGCTGTATCCTTTCTTTTTAATCTGGTGATCAGCCCTCCTCTTTCCCAAACCTTTCCCAACCTGTCCCAAAAGTTTGAACCTAAGACCTCCTAAATGAAATTTCATGCTTTTAAGAATTGAGGCATCCTTTGAGAGACCATGTCATATTTCATATCCTTTTTGTGTCTGTTATGCAGGACTTATTTGCAATAGCTCAGGATCAACTGTTTCGGATCCCATTCACCATAGCCTTTATTTTGAGGGCATTTTCAACACTCGAAGGTTTCCTCTCTCTCTCTCTCATGCTCACACACAGTATACTCACTAGTACTCCATCCTGTGTGGCTATTTGAAGTGAATTTGCCCAAGGAAATGAAACTTAAATTTGAAGTTTGAAGATGCCATAAGCACCATTATGTCATGTTATTGTCTGTTCTATGGACCCTGAAGGTTCTCTACACATTTGCATGAGAATGTATCCTATATAGCATTTAAAGTCAGATGTCTCAGAAATATTAGAATTCAACAAAATAGAAATCTTATCATCCTTGAATGTTACAATTTCAATTGCATACCAGTACTGCTCTATTTTGAGTATGGTCATACGATCATTTTCCTTGCAGGTGTAGGCTACATGCTTAGTCCAGATTTTTCCTTTGCAAAGATTGCTGCACCCTACATACAGGTTCGGCACATCCTCCTACATAATCTTATTCTCTTTAGTTAATTCATGCTTTTTGATGACCTGCCAGGTTTATTTACAGTTGGATATGTAGGACTTATTCTTCATGTCACTTACAGGAGCTTTTAAGTATTAGAGAAAGGCCACGAAGTGGGACACAGCTAGTGGATGAACTAAGGAAACAAGCCGATGATGTATTGTACTCTTCCTCCAATGTTTCCTCAACTGCTTCAATTCCTTCTGTTTCTATCATTCTTGAGATTTAAGAGAATCTATGTCTATTTGCAGGCCAGGTCTTACACCATGTCCATGCCATATAGAGTTCAACGGATAGAGGAATTCGTAAAACAACTTGAGTCGGGAGATTTAAAACTGCGTGTCCGAGTGATGGAGGTAAATAAACTATCTTTTTCCTTAAGAACTTATGTTTGATTTGCTTGGACGAAAGAATGTCTAAATGGATAAATACTGTTCAGCACTATGAAATTCTCATCCAATTTCTTTTGCTTATCTACTTCTTTAATGAAAATGCCAATGCCAGTCAGAGAGAGCAGCACATAAAGCAACCATCATGCAAAAGGCGACCATATATGCAGTACTAGGTGGCACACTGCTAAACCTCGGGTTCACCATTGCCTATCAAGGCAGCCGAGTTATCGCAAATGGATCATTCATTGGAGCAGGTGATTTAAGTTCTTCACTTGTGAAATGAACTCGGTATTTAGTTCATGGCTAATGAAATTTTAATTTGTAATAATGCAGGAGTTTGCTTGATACTGTTTCTTAGGTCAATGCAGATGGTGAAAAAGCTAGACAAATTTGAGAAGATGATATGATTCTTTTTCCAAGAAGGCTAGATATCTTTTTGCATTTATGGTGAATCTTGATCTCTCTTTTTGAGTGATTTACTTGTCTTTTTCTCGCCAAAGAAAATTTTGTAATTCTTTTTCCACAAGTATTAGAGGTAAATTCATTCTTTCAGTTTCAGCGCAGCTAGTGATTGTAGTATAAAATTCAGAGTATGAATGGAATTAGTCCTTAGAGTGATTCCCTTGATTGTATTAAGTGATTACAGTAGAAACACAATTAACTGGTTCACATCTTTAACCTTGTCCGAAAGACCCTATAGTGCAATGAGAAAATCTTCGAGGAGATAAAAGTTTATGGCAAAGTGGAGTTCTCCAAGAGAAATGATGATTAAGATGTGTTTTCCTGTTAGATGGGTTGATTTGATGAACTTCCTAGCAGCTAATGGGTTCATCTCGTCATGGAAGGAGAATCTTTCGTCGTACTCTACTTGGGGAAGGATCAAGGGCCTCCTGATTGTATTGGTGCGACCAGAAGCACCTTGCACGGAGGTTGGGGGAGACATCAGCTGTTCAGCGTCCCCAGGTTGAGCCTGTTCAACCACCTTTTGTTTCTTCTCTTCCAAGGACCTCTGTTCAGCCCGAGTCTTCCTATTCTTACCGGGATGTATCCCTAGCAGATTGCTGTCCTGACCGCCTCCCAGGAGAGAACTGTCCCTTGTGGGTTTCCAGCTATTGGGATTGCAGGTGCATGCATCCTCATTAGCCACGTTTCCCACCATTTAAGTCCACCTCGGCAGGAGCAGGGATATTCATCTGAGCAAGACCCCGACGAGGAGCCTTGCATGGCTTCCTGAGCAGGGGATTTTTCTTGGTGTCTGATATCATAAAGAGCGAATAATTCGAGGGTTTATTTGTATTTTTGTTTTTTTTTTTATGGTTATCTACACGCAAAACAATTGCGAGAGTACAGTTTTTTCATACGAGTTTTTATATCATAATAGGCTTTTCTTTTCACTTTATTAAATTTTTTTTTTTTAACAAATTTGTAAGGGGTTAAATTCGAACCGTTACTCTGAGTGAAAGAAAACATTTACACGTGATCTGACGTCATTGAACCTAAAAGCCCAAGTGCCACTTTATTAAACTTATTTACTTATTTAATAACATATAAAATTTATTATAAAAAATTATGAGTATATCATTATACAATTACAATATGTAAATGCCACGTGGTAAAAACAAAAGTCCAACTCCATAAAATTTAATCTTCATGTGCCATCCCTT